ATTCGAAGACGTAAGTATACAAACTGTACATCGTACCGTATCGTATTTACACGCTACGGCCCGGGCGCTTGATGGGTTGTGCCGTGCCGTTCACCGGTGTCGTTTGTGTACAATCATGTAGGTTCGCCCCAATGATCATGTACATGTAGGTTCTCCCAATGATCACGTACATGGTAGGTTCGCCCCAAGACTACAGATACATGTAGGTTCTCCCCCATGGATCAGTAATGTAGGTTCAAATGTATCACGTACATGTAGGTTTCACACTGATCACGTACCTTAGGTTCTCCCCTATGCACTCTTCAGCGAAGCATTGTAGCGTCGTTCCCCTGCCAAATGATCATGATAACACTCCCGTATGGTCTCACTATGATCCGTACATGTAGGTTCTCCAATGAGCATGTCACATGTAGTTCTCCAGAGGATCTTGTACATGTCAGGTTCTCCAATGATCACGTACATGTAGGTCTTACCATGCATCATGTACATGTAGGTTCTCCCAATGATCACGTACATGTAGGTTCATCCCAATGATCATGTACATGTAGGCTCACCCCAATGATCATGTAAGTGTAGGTTCACCCCAATGATCATGTACATGTAGGTTCATCCCAATGATAACGTACAGCACAGGCACTTGGAGCATTTCAATAAAATATAATGCTAAAAATACGAAATCTATGTACTACAAAGTCTTCATGTTTCTTACTCTTTCACTCTTATTAGCCGACAATATCCTGTAATTCCGTCAAATGATCAGCTGCAACAAGACGCTGGGCCTGCCGCCATGTGCTGCACGCTGCACACACTGGACACATCACCATATAAAAGTTAATAATTCCATATATATGTAGTGTGCAGCCTGTGCACAGTTAGCAGTACTCTACAGCGCCGGGATACATTTGAAGAGTGGGTGCTCAATTTGTACGCTCGACAGTGAACCAATGCAGCGACGATTTCGAGAGAGGGTGGTAAGAACAGGCGTGGGTTGCGGTCTTCCCCAGAAATTTTTGAATCCCCACATTTTCACCCTGAAAGTAGGGCTGGATCGATGTACACGCCAATCCCCCACGTTAATAAGTGGGGATGCCATCCCCCCCCGCTCATCTACGACCCTGTGACGTACTGTGGTTCACCCCCATGGATCATGTAACATGTAGGGGGATAGCGCTCTTCACAGGGTTCTGGGTCGCAGTTACTGCTGACTGGCACCTCGTCATGAATTGTGTGAAAGACGTGTGTAAATCGGTGGGTGTTTGGAAGTTTAGCAGGGTTAGGTTGGCCAGCAATGCATTACTACACGGTCAAACATATGACAGAGAAACCAAGGCTATACCATAGGATTATTTAAGACTATAGCCTGTGCGGGTCTATCAGGGTTAAGGCTTGCCCCATAGACGAACACACTGTGCTATATATGGTAATGGATGTACTATACAATCGAGGAGTGACTGGCTTGCTACCACTGGAAGATCATCAGTATACATATGTACAACCATACACCCTATTACTACCGTTGATGTCACTGTATACACGGGTAGACAAAGCGTACTATGTTATTGTTGCGTAATATGCGAAACGCTGTGCTACATTACCATGGCCACCACACGCATGGGGCGTACACAGCTTGCTCTTCGGTCTTTATAAGATCGTGACTTTTTGTTGACCCTGCGATGATTTTTAGAAACTCGACATGTTGCACCCAGCGTAATAAGGCTTAACATGATTCTTAATAAATTGTTGAAAAAGCGACTTATTAGTGTCATTACCTGTTAAATGCGATGGCATTGTTAACGTCGGATACGAGCTGGCTTGAGCGGAGAGAGGCAAATGCTATATCAAGAAGACAGACAAGGTATACACAACAAGAAAGTAACCCCTCCTTTTCAAAATATAGCAATTCGTTAACGTACAGTGAATATGAACTTTCGGACCGGCGTCAATGTCTTCGAGGCACACCTAGATAGTCTCTCACTCCGTCGCGGTTAGAAACGCGGTATTTAGTATTCGTCGTTGAAGGTATGTCATAGGTGCCTTCAACCACATTTGCGATAATGATTCACCTACGGCCGCCCAAAATTCAAACCGTCATGGACTCGGTCATCCTCATTATCAATCACTCGGTCGCGCGACGTCGTATCGAGTGACAATGTGCTGTCTGATAGTCGAGCCTCAGTCATTATTCTTAAAAAATTCTTATAATTTGCGGAAATCAAGCCTCGATGATTGCTTATAAAAAAAGTGTGTAGTATCATTTTTATCGAGTCGCATCAGTGTTGACACCCTGACAGCTCACCGGGGCGTGTACAGGGGGGGCGTCCAGGGGGTTCGGCCCCCCCCCTGCTCCGCGAGAAGATCTAAGGGGTCTAATTTCACAGAGTTCCAGACACCCCCCCCCTTCGCGTGCCGCAAGTTGAGGTTACGGTTAGCCCCCCCTGGCTACAAATCCATTGTACACCACCCTGGCAGCTGTTCATTTGTGGATGTCTGGATGCTATCGAAAATAACAGTAGCTAGAGTAGGTAGTGCTTGGTAGGTTGACGTACAGAATCTTAACCCTATGAACGACAAAGCAGATGAATGCCGAAGCTCTACATTTTTACCGTTTGGTTTTTACAGTGGTGAATGTTGTATAGCAGGGTTAGGAGTAACCTTGGAATCTCTATTAAAATACGAATGCTTAGAATTGCGTAAATTTTTAGTGTACTTCTAATAACAGTAATAGTCCGTGCCCACCCTGCCTACCCTCGGCAGATAAGGTCTCATGGCTTTTCCCTGCACCTCTGTTTGACTCGACTGGCTTAGCATATTTCTGACTAATACATTATAATATTATATATATATTATATATAATATATACAGGTCTAGCGTTAAGGTTAGTCAGAAATAGCTAAACGAGCCAGATCAAACAGAGGGCAGGGAGACATAGACCCTACGGGCGCTACTCTCCTGCGTCCCCTGTCATAGCTCTAGAACTATAGCTCGTTCTAGGCGTCTATGTCCCCACTGACCCTCGTTTGCACCTCGCTCGGGTTCACGCTATTTCGTGACTAACCCTAGCACTAACCCGAATCGAACACCTAACCCTAACCCAACCCTATATATACGTTCATTGTATATAGGATTATATAATATTAAGGTCAAATAGCTAACGAGACGAGGTCAAATCATCACGAGGTCAGCGGCGACATAGACCATTATTGCCCAGCAGAACGCCGCCCTTGCTCCGCCACAGCGGCCTGTGGCGGCATCGAAGCGGCCTATAAGTTCTTATAGCTCATGCTTCTGACAGCACATCAGCATCAGTTCTCTTAAAGGAAAGCTTCTGTTGGTTACTTATCTAACAAAATTGCTGGGGCGATCACGTATGTGCTCTTCGCTTGGCGCCTGCCGATCCGCGGGGGATGGCCCGGATGCACATTTTTCGGCGCTCCCCCACTTCCTAGTTACTAATGCTGCTCGCCCAGCAGTAATGGGGTTTCGTACGACCATCTATTTTTACCGCATGTGTGCTGTGTCGTTGGCTTCTCTAAAAGCTATTTATAGGCACCTGCGGGTAATAGTACTGCCTCTAAAGGCTAAAGCTAAATTCTTTCATAGTAGAGTTCATCAAATTCAGATAACTCTGTCGCTATGTATTTAGCTGGTGCTATTTCATGCGAATGCTTATGCGACAGGCTGCTGATACTGCATGCATGTCGAGCTTTCAGATGCTGTAGTAGCTTTACCTCAGCAGTTAAGGCGGTTAGCGTGCTCTTGTCGGTTTTGTTTTTTTTCCATTTTGCGGTAGACGCATCCGATTGCCCTCCACTAGACAGCAACACATCATCGTGCCCTCAAGGCACGGGCCGCCAGACCAGTCAAGTTCTTAGCTTGCATCATTTATTTCTTCGTTCAGCGCACACCAGGGGTTTTGCAAATCGTGAATACATGCAAACTGGGACGTAAATACGCAAGTCGTCCGGTCGGCAGAGGCTCATGTAAACGTTCGAATGAGAGTCTTGAATTTAGTATGCTTTCAGTGTCATATTTTTAACGTTTATATGTACATTTTCCTGCCATTATGCCGGAGCACTCTGAAATCTTGTTCTAATGATCGATGTAAATTCATAAAAAGGCTGTGGTGTATCGGCACGTGGTCATCTCGTGCCCTCCATCCCTCACTTCGCCCCCAACCACACACCCTCTACTCTACGCACTACAACACGATACCCCCATCGCTACATCGTTACACCTCTTGTCCACCCACCCCCTCACAGCATCACATCTCCGCACATCACATCATCACATCACACAC